GTCTGGGCAACAGAGTGAGATTCTGTCTCAAAAACAACAACAAAAAACAACAATGGAAGCCAGGAGACAATGAAATAACACATTTAAATTTCCAAAAGAAAGTAACTATCAACCTATACCAAAGGAAAAATTCTACAAAAATAAATGTTCAAGAAAGACGCTTTTACCAAAACAATCTTCAAGAGGAACAAAGTTATAGGTCTCACATTTCCTGATTTTGAGACTGATAACAAAGCTACAGTAATCAAAGCAGTGTGGTACTGTCATAAAGACAGACAAATACATCAATGGAATAGAATAGAGCGCCCAGAAATACACATTCGAATAAATGATCAAATGAGTTTTGGGCTTTTTTTTTTTTTTGAGGCAGGGTCTCACTCTGTTGCCCAGGCTTGAGTGCAGTGGTGCAATCATAGCTCATTGCAGCCTTGAACTCCCGGGCTCAAGCAATACTCCTGCCTCAGCCTCCCAAGTAGCTGGGACTACAGGCACATGCCACCACACGTGGCTAATTTTTAATGTTTTTGTAGATATAGGGTCTCGTTATGTTCTCCAGGCTGGTCTTGAACTCTTGAGCCCAAGCGATCCTCCTACGTTGGCCTCCCAAAGTGCTGGAATTATAGATGTGAGCTACCACACTCAGCCTCAATTGAGTTTTGACAAGGGTGCTAAGACCATTCAATAGGGAAAGAACAGTCTTTTCAACAAATGGTAGTGGGAAAACTGGATATCCACATGCAAAAGAATGAAATTACAGAAATACAAAAATTAATTCAAAATGAATCAGACTTTAAGAGCTAAAACTGAAATTTTAGAACAGGGGAAAAGCTTCACGACATTGCATTTGGCAATGATTTCCGGAAATGACACCAAAAACAGGACAAGAAAATAAAATAAATAGGACTACAACAAAATTAAAATATTTTGGGCATGAAAGGACACTTTGCAAGATAGACTCAGTTCCTGCCTTTATGGAACTTTTAGCTTAGTAAGGCAGGCAGTCCTCCAAGTTATGATGAACGATGTGAGAGGTGTTATAGAATTGAATTACAGCGGATGCAAAGCTTCAAAACTCCTCAAGGGATCCTCAAGGGGACCCACCTACTAGTGCAGCCATGGATACACTGGACATGTTTTCTTTCTCATCTTGGTTCTAGTCCCTTGGGACAGATCTTGAGAAGGTCAAGAAAGAATCCTTAACTGTATTGGAGTTGAAGTTTCAAATCCCATTCTCGTAAGCAGCAGAGTAGTGCGCTGGGTGCGTTGGTCACACCTGTAATCCCAGCATTTTGGGAGACTGAGGCGGACAGATCACCTGAGGTTAGGAGTTCGAGACCAGCTTGGCCAACATGGTGACATCCCCGTCTCTACTAAAAATACAAAAAGTTAGCCGGGCGTGGTGGCGTGCGCCTGTAATCCCAGCCACTCGGGAGGCTAAGGCACGAGAATCGCTTGAACCCGGGAGACCTCGGAGGTTGCAGTGAACCGAGATCGCGCCACTGCACTCCAGCCTGGGCGACAGGGTGAGACTCTGTCTCAGAAAAAAAAAAAAAAATTGTGACGTCTCCCTCAGAATCAGCGTCTTTAAGGGGCCACCTTCCCACCCCACCCCCATGCCTCCCTCCTCCTCGAACCGTGTGTTAGAGCACTGTGATCTGGTCCAAACTCCACGAAGATGCGTTGCGAAACGACGTGTGGCAATTCCAACTCCCCGTCTCGGCCGCCACCTAGGATTACTGCACTTTCAGTTACGACCTCACCAACATGGCTGTTGGAAGTCGCCTGCAGGAAAAAGAAGTGACACTAAAGGATCACTTCCGCTTCCGTTGGCGCAGGCGCTTTCATTTTTTTTCCTGCTACCGTGACTAAGATGGAAGCGTTTTTGGGGTCGCGGTCCGGACTTTGGGCTGGGGGTCCGGCCCCAGGACAGTTTTACCGCATTCCGTCCACTCCTGATTCCTCGATGGATCCGGCATCCGCACTCCACAGAGGTCCGATCACGCGGACCCAGTAAGTTATCGGCGCTTTTGCTTGCGAAGGGGGAGGGACCGCTGGGCCTGGGGCTGCCGGCGGGTTTGGAGAGCCCGGGAAGGTGAGACGGGGACCCCGGAGGCGCGCGAACATAGGGGAGCTCGGGGCGCGGAGTCCTGGAGAATGCAGAATGAGTGAAAGTAATTACGGAAAATCAGAAGCGGAGCCCAATGCGCGGAAAGAAGGCGCAGGCCATCTCCCCGCTCACCTCCCACCATTCTCGCTCTCCAGAAACCCCATGGTGACCGGGACCTCAGTCCTCGGCGTTAAGTTCGAGGGCGGAGTGGTGATTGCCGCAGACATGCTGGGATCCTACGGCTCCTTGGCTCGTTTCCGCAACATCTCTCGCATTATGCGAGTCAACAACAGTACCATGCTGGGTGCCTCTGGGGACTACGCTGATTTCCAGTATTTGAAGCAAGTTCTCGGCCAGATGGTGTAAGTCATCCAGAGAACGGGAGAGTGGCTCCCAAGCAGGGAGGAGAGTCCCTGTTTTTTATTCCCTTCGACGGCATGGGGTGACTTGATGTTGCAACGGGGCACTGGGAGAATTGTTGGGGGTGACTGATCCAAGAGTGTTTGCAGTAAAGTTTTTGGCATTAGGAGGTGTAAAATGGGGGAAGGTGTGGTAACTTCTTTTGGGGATGGGTGGAGATCCCAATTTAATTCTCTCCCTTTTCTCACAACCAATTCCTCTTAAGGATTGATGAGGAGCTGCTGGGAGATGGACACAGCTATAGTCCTAGGGCTATTCATTCATGGCTGACCCGGGCCATGTACAGCCGGCGCTCGAAGATGAACCCTCTGTGGAATACCATGGTCATCGGAGGCTATGCTGATGGAGAGAGGTTCATACGAATACAAATAACGTTATTTCCTTTACTACCCAAACTAGTGCCTGTGTAGTATCTCTTCTGTCTCTTTTCCCCAAGCGAATCCCACTTTAACTTAGACCCCATGGTCCCCTTCTTCAGCTAAGATGAACCTAAGGTGAAATGAGTTTTGACCCATTGTGTCCTGTTAGCTTCCTCGGTTATGTGGACATGCTGGGTGTAGCCTACGAAGCCCCTTCACTGGCCACTGGTTATGGTGCATACTTGGCTCAGGTAAGCAGTGAGTTGAGAGGCGGGGGCAAGGGGAGACAGAAGGGAAAATGGATTAGTGGTTGCTTGTTTTTCTCCTGGAGTTCTGAAATGACAGGCTGGGATCCCTACTGCTGGGCAGATGGTTTTCTTTGTAGTCTGGGGGCTGTAGGTGTTGACACTTAGATTCCAGTGACGAGATGGCATGTCTGGGACTCGGTAGACATGCAAAGAGAGGACACCCTAGAACTTCCCCTTGAAGTGGCTTTTAGCTTATTATTAGTAAGCAGAGTTCACTCTGCAAGAGGTAGAATGTCATCTTTTCACTCTTTAATACTTTTTGTACCATTGATTTGAGACAACTAGCCTGTTATTCAGCCCAGTATCTCCCATGGTTCCCCTCCCAATCTCTCTAGCCTCTGCTGCGAGAAGTTCTGGAGAAGCAGCCAGTGCTGAGCCAGACTGAGGCCCGAGAGCTAGTAGAACGCTGCATGCGAGTGCTATACTACCGAGATGCCCGTTCTTACAACCGGGTGAGGAATGTGCTGGGAACCTAATCGGTAGACTCCTGGATACTTGCAGTCCCTGGGTCTCTATGCGCTGAAGAACAGATTGCCTCACTTGTGTGACTCCTATTTTCAGATTGGGTAAGACCTCCACCTGACCTTTAAGGACTTAAGGGGTGGGCATTACTGAATGCTCTGCTTTCTTCCAGTTTCAAATCGCCACTGTAACCGAAAAAGGTGTTGAAATAGAGGGACCACTGTCTGCAGAGACCAACTGGGATATTGCCCACATGATCAGGTGAGTCGTAGGAAAATGGTGGCAGATTTGGGAGGTCTTTGGCTTGCACTAAACGACTTTTCTAGGAGGCTCACCCAGGAAAATTCTCTGGGTGGAGAGGGTTTTGGTTGGGCAGTACAGCTGTTTTTGGGAATTGATCCCTTTATGCTTCACAATTTTTTATTCTTCCTTTTTTAGTGGCTTTGAATGAGATACAGATGCATTATCCAGAACGGAAGTTGTACCCTACTTTTAACTTTAAACTTGACCGATTCAGACTCTTCTTTTGTAAAGAAAATAAATTCTTCAAAATGCTTGCTGACTGGTTTTTGTCTGACTTGGGTCACAAGTGCAAAACTGTGGAGTACTGCCGCGTGGCATCTCTCTCCCTGGTCGGAGAACCCTTAGGCTCTTGTAGCAAATACAGAATTCGCTACACAATACAGAAACACCCACTAGCATCTTCATTTGGGGCTGTATTAGAAGCAGCTTCCTATAGAAGCCAGACTTAATTTTTATGTGCTAACATAGCTGGCTTTTAAAATTTTACTCCCAAATCTTCCCCTACTGCAATGTATTATCAAAGAATACAATTTCTTAATGTTGGCTGTGGTTTTTATTAAAATGCCATTTTAAAGACAGTCTAGTAGAGCTGCTCTGCATTAGGTTGCCCTCAAGTCAGTTGGGGCATTAGCCATCCCTGGAATGGTTCTAAACCTGAGTATTTTAGAGACAAGGTCTCATTCTGTTGCCCAAGCTGGAGCGCAGTGGCATGACCATAGCTCACTGCAGCCTTGAATTCCTGGGCTCAAGCAACTTCCTGCCTCAGCCTCCCAAGTGCTGGGATTACTGGCATGAGCCATCATGCTCAGCCTCAATTTTTTCTTTTATTTCAGCCTGAATTTTTAAAATGAACACTGTAGGTGAGTCTGACACGTATCCTCTCCAAACTTCTAGAGAAAGAACAGAGGCAGCAAATTCAAAGTATTATAGAAATTCCATGAGAGCGCTGAAGGAAGAACCAAACCATCCCTCCATTTACATTGAAAAGAAAGCCATGCGCTTTCAATCTGACACCTCCACACATTCAGTCTCAACACAGAAAATAGTCAATAAATACATGTTTATTGATTAAACTGAATTATAAAAAACAAAACAAAACAAAAGTTTCCTTCTACTACTAAGCCATGCAGGCAGAGTCCACAAAGACAACTTCCTGGCCAAAACCCAGCTGATCCACTGTTAAGATCTTAAAAAAAATTACCCATCAAGAAAGTCAATCGTGTGCAGAGGACAGGAACCCCAGCTCTGCTAAGGCTGTGGCTGCTGCAGAGACTACCAGATTAGGATTAGGTTGTTGTAGATAAAAGTGACCAAATCATAGTTCTTGAACTTTCTCAAAGGCAAACGCTGACTTCAAAGTCCACAGTCTGTCAATAAAATGGCATCAGGCAAAAAGCTGGGGAAGAGAAGCCCAGATGGATCCTTGGTTGTTTTCAGATGTCAGGGATTCACAAAGCTGGCCAAGCTGCTTCTGGAAGGGACTTTTCCAGTTCACTATATTATAGTGTGCTGGGGGGGCGGGCGGGGAGAGGGGAGCGAAAAACAAAAAAAGCAGGGTGGGGTGGGAGAAATGGGTGGTAACAAATGTCACACCTGCACCACCAGGCCCATTACATCTTGAGCATCCCCCAGTCTGTGAAAGCCTATTAAACAGGGTCACCTAGAAAAAAAACAAGTTTATAAATCCATTTCCCCTCATTTTATTAAATGTTCCACTTATGTACATTTTAAAGACGAACCATTTACAAGCTTGTGCAGGTTGCCTCCTTGGCTCACAGGAGGGGAACAATGCTGAAAGCCTCAGGATAAACAGAACACTTGTTTTTTTGCTCCTTTTTCTCTGTATGGTACAGTACATTTTGGTTTATAACCATGAGTACATACAATAAAAAAAATCCCTCATGCAAACTGTAGAAAAAATTTTCTTTCCTTGATGCTGGCAGTGAAAAATAAAATTGATGTCATTTTCTTGGTGCACACCCGTGTGCAGCTTCTTCCTGTTAGATTCTTCTCTAAGCATTAAGAGAAATCGGGGAAAGCCACAGAGTACACTGGATTTCAACAAGTGGTCTTGTCTTTTCAAAGTCCAACACAACTTCTTGAACGATTAGCTCCTGGTTGTAGGACCAGTGATCCCTTAGATAGGCATGCTCCCCATTTGACAGGATGAAGTACAATAAAGCAGGGACTGCCCCTGGGGGCTTGCAGGATGAACACTCAAACTGGGAATGGCTTCCACCCTAAAACTGTTTCATCACCCTCAGTACCTCTTGCTTGTTAATCAACACCTGTATGATCCTTTGTCCAGAGTGATGGATGGTGTGAGAATGGGGAAAGGGGCTAAGGATCACAAGTGCAAAAAATATTGTTTATGTCATGTTTTGAAGGGAAGGTGGTGAGGAAAAGACAAATCTAGTCATTCTGGATAATTAAATGTGGTTTCATGCATTTTTAAAGCCACAATTTTCTATCTAGGGTTGCTGTAGAAACCAACATCTCTGGAGAGGGAAGGAAAGAAAAGGAGAGAGTTCAGTGGGATTTTTTTTTCCATTTTCATTTTTATATAAAAGTGTTAAGACCACAATGAAAAAAGTTTTTTATCCATATATATAATAAACCAGTTTGTGAGCTACATAATTTGTCTTTCCCATCTTCAGAAATGTTCTCACATTGACAATGATTAGATAGCATCATGCCCAAAGACATTGGCCACACAGTAAAACAAACAAACAACCCAGAAGTACTATGATACAATTGAGGTAAAGGGAAACAAAAAAATTGAACATTCGCCCACAAATAATTTTTTTTCTTTTTCTTAATTTTGTCAGAAAAATACCAAACACAGTGATTTAAATTTAAAAAAAAAGTCACAAAAACCTGTTTTTAGCAGAAATAAATGACCAATGGGCCAGCTCCTTGGCTCAGATGTGATCACTATTGGTTTTCCTAATTAACAAATCCACAGGGAAGTGTAAGTCAACATCAGGGGCAAGTGGTGGTGTAAAATTATAAAATATAAACCAAATACCCCACCTGGTATGCCCCCTTTCCCCAAAACCCCTTTACCCTCCCTCACACGTTCCCACCCCTACTCCATACCCCATCATGACCCAACACTCAAATCTCCATCAGATCTAGGTCAGCTTCTTCAAAGCCATAGAAAGATTCGGTCTCACTTTCACCCTCAAAGAGCTGGTGAAGGCTTTCAGGCTCAATTGTCTCTTCAGGAGATGATCTGGGTCGTGGAGTGGAAGACTCAGAATGTTCCCCACTCAGCTTCAGCTGCTCCTCTAGGGAGGCAATTAACTCCTCCTGCATGTCAGCATTTCTTGTAGGTGAGTTAATGTTGCCATCGGGGCCAGGAAGAACACTAGCCACCAGGAAGGAGCGCTGAACTAGCTCTGGACAGTCCCCAATGACACCTAGCACTTCACCCAGCCAGACAAGCACCAGCTGAAGCAGGACATCAGAATCACATGCAGTATCTGCCATTTCCCGAGCCTGCTCCTTCCATTTTTTATGCAGGAAGTTCTTGACAGTTCTTTTGATGCATACATCTAATGGCTGGATTTTGGAGCTACAGCCTGCTGGGACCACTGCAGGCAAAGTGCTAGAGGCACTAAGCATAGCCAGCACCTCTTCTGACAAGTGAGCACGATGACAGTCCATCACAAGCATGCCTTTGCTGCGCTGGCAAGCTGTGTGCTTCTGCCACACTCGAGTTGACCATAGCTCCATGATCTCATCATCACTGTAACCACTCTCCTTTGCCTCTAGCAAAATGGAGTCTGGCATATTAGCAGGCTGATCCATCTGCCCTCTGTAGAAAACCAGGGTGGGCAGGACAGTGCCATCTGCCAGAATGGCCAGGACTACATCACACCAAGGTTCCCCTGTGCCCACTGTCTGCAGGGCATTCTCCTTTCGGTCGTCACTGCTCAGCACCTCTGTATCCAAGAACAAGGAGATCTCATCGATAGCCACAATCATAGACAAGGGTAAGTCCTGGTTGTGAATCTGCCGTTGCACAAATTCAATGAAGAGTCCTGCATTCTCTGCCACGTCCTTAGGTAGGGTGTGGGCCACAGCCCGCCGGGCATGGGGAGTCAGGTGGTGCCGCAGCATGAAACGCACAGCCCACTCATAGGAGATCTTAAACCCCCCTTCCAAAGAACGTCCTATCTTGGTGGCCTTCTGGAACAAGGTCTCCTCATTTACAGGTAGCTGTTGTTCTCGCTGAGTTAGCACCCACTCAGCCAGTTTCTCTTCTGCCTCAAAGCTCAGATATTTGCCCTCTAGATTCTCCCCCTGGGAGGCCTGGAAACGTCGAAGCCAACGCCGAATACGTCGCTGGGGATTTCGGAAGTGTTCAGCTGCCTGTTCTGTATTGCAGCATAGAGCAAACAGTACTACTCGAAGCTTCTTCACAGACAACTGCTCCTTTTTGCCAACTCCACCACTACCACCACCGCCTGATGCTGGCTCAGGTTCCTGGGTGACTGGGCTCCCTCCGTCCTGATCATCAACATTCAGACATTCGGCTCCTTCTGTAGCTAAGGGTGGAAGGGCTGAAGGCTGTGAGTGAGTCGGGGTTGGTGGTGGGGTCGCAGTTGAGGCTGGCGATGGGAGTGCTGGGGCCAAGGGAGTTGGTGGCTCTTCAGGCTCGGCTGGGGCAGCCCCCACAGACTTCACAGCGGCAGCTTTGTTAGTGGGGAAGGAAGGAGGCGGGTGCATATTCTTCACGTTCCGGTCATGCACGCGGTCACGAGTCTGGCCATGCCTAAATGGGTGAGGAGCAAAGAGAAGAGGATAAATCTCAGTTCAACCAGGGAACTGAAATAATAATATGACACACACTGCAAACCAGAAATTGTGAGGTGAGAGTTTTTGTTACCTTGAGTGAGCTATCCAAGTGAGTCCTACGGAAAATGAAACAATAAAAAAAGTTAGCTCAGTGAAGAAATAAGCTCTCCAAAGACAGTGCCCTGGGATTTCAACCTACTACATACAAATGTGCCGTTCACAGTGACCAACCTTCCCAGTCTTACGTAAACTTCAGGTTGGAAGGTTTCTAATTTGGTATAGCGCATCTCAAGAGTGAATGGGTGAGGCCAGACAGGCATGCTCCTGATGCATACAGTACGCCTCATATCTTTTTTTCCTCCTCTTGCTCAGCTAATCCCATCCCTCCTACATACCCCGTGGCAGGATGCTGCTGGATCTGTGAGAGGGGTTGAATACCAAATGCTTGGCCATAGCATCGCCCACAGAGGTAACAAAGGTACACGAAGTACAGGCCAGCTTGATTCCACTGAAAGAGAGAATCGAGAATATGTAAGACAAATACAGCAGTGACACTTGAGACTATTGAGCTTTGAGGCTTAAGAAAAGGAATGCCCTCCCAAATTTCTCTTTTTTCTAAAATTAACTCACATAACCACCTTCCCAAATAATGAAAAGAATTTAATGTAAAAACCTGAAACATTTTTAAAAAAGGAAAGAAAACAAAACAACAAAAAACCTGAAAAATTAAGATGCTTCCAGTAAGTTTTTTTCTTACCTCACAGAATTTTTAAACAAAGCCAAATACTTGGGGCTTTTCCGTGGAACATGATTGCTGAGAAAGACAAAGAAGTGGTATGAGTTATAGAGTTCTGCTGGCTAAGCTAGAGATCAGCAGCCAGTGACAATGGCCCCAACAAAAGAGATCTTCTTCAGTGCATCCAAATCTCAACCTAAGCCAGTTTTCCTGTCACTGCGCTTCTTAAACTTCAATGTGCACACGCGTCACCTGAGGATCTATTAAAATTCACATCCTGATTCAGTAGGCTTAGGGTGGGGCTGAGAGTCAGCATTTCTAACACTGCTGGTCCTTGAGTAGCAAGGTCCTATGAAATGAGAGCACAGACCATCAAAACCAAAAAATAAAGCCTCTCACTCTGCTAGAAGAGAAGAACGAATAGTTCCAAGAGTTGAAGGAAGAAACAGTAGGAACAGGGAAGAAAATGAAATGAGTGCTCAAGAACCTGGCCAGGGCCGGGCACGGTGGCTCCTCCAGCACTTTGGGAGACCAAGGCGGGTAGATCACCTGAGCTCAGGGGTTTGAGACCAACCTGGCCAATATGGTGAAACCCCGTCTCTACTAAAAATGCAAAAAAAAATTAGCCAGGTGTGGTGGTGCACACCTGTAATCCCAGCTACTAGGGAGGCTGAGACAGGAGAATCACTTGAACCCAGGAGGCAGAAGTTGCAGTGAGCCAAGATTGCACCAATTGCACCACTGCACTCCAGCCTGGGGAGCAAGCAAGATCCTGTCTCCAAAAAAAAAAAAAAAAAAAAAAAAAAGAATCTGAACTCTCAAGTTGAAACATTGGTTCAAACAACTTACTTGATCATGTGGTTGGCATAAGCTCGAGAGCAGCAGGTGCTATAGCGACACAGAGAGCAGTGCACGTAAGTAGGGAAATGATTAGGGAAGTCTGGAATCTCGAAGCTGCACTCCAGGCATGTCTGCCGGCCCATGACACTCCTGTAGGGAAGAAAAGGAGAACTCTCATTACTGCCTCAGGGGTCCCCAAAATGTAGGATTTTCAGACAAGAAATTGTGCTAAAAAGCTACCAGATCGCATTGTGTATCAGGAATAATCCTGCCCACCCAGCCCCACCCGCCCAGCACTTAGAAGAAGGCGCTGACATTTTCCTGACAGCTCTCTTCTGGATGCTGCGCTGGACAGGGGGATAAAGGAAGACAGGCAGAGGGTCCGTTGAGGAGGCCAGTGGTGCTGCCTCCTGCAAGGCGCTGGGAGGTGTATCATTAGAGGATACAGGAACAGTTCTTGGCTGCCCTCGGGAAGCCCGGATTGTCACCTGAGAGTCAAGGGAAGGAACAATGAGACATCACCCACACTAAATTTCAGAATACTGAAAAATCTCTATTCCTCCCTCCCTGAGTCTATAAAAGACAATGGCAAACTCTTTACCTTGGTGCCTGGTTTCAAGCCCTCCAGCTGCTTGGGTTTACGGAAGGTTTTATGGTGTTGAAGCTTGTGTTCAATTTTGTCCTTGGCAAAGAGAAACTGCAGCCGGCATTTGTTGCAGTGATAAACATTTCTCTTCTGAAATGGGAGAGGGGAGGTAAAAAGAGACAAAATCCCTTAAAGGTTCCTAATACATCTCCGAGAAGTAAGCAGATCAATGCCAACCATATCATTCTTCCCCCCTTTCTGTTAATAATTTAAGAGAGTAAGAAATAAATATACAACATGACCACAAAACCTACCATTGAGAATCACCACCTCCCATGATCCCAAAGAAAGATGGATTCTAGGCCAGGATGACTAAATTCTCAAATCATCCTTTCCTGACTTATTTTAGCAATTTGAATGGGTGATGTAACCTCTATTTGTATAATATCTTTACACTGCTGACAATTAGACATTCTCCTGGACATTCTTCTTTTTTTAAAGAAAGATAATGTACACAGTAAATAAAAGTCAAACTTTTTTTCTGTACTCTTCCAAGTTTGCCTTCAACTCCGACAATCAGTCCCTTTCTACAGAAACAACTTATTACCAGTTTCCTGAGCATGCTTTCACGGGCAGTCTATACATATAACTATATCACAAATACATTCATATCCAATCATTACCTGCCTCGCCATCCCCCATCCCCACTTTTTTTTTGAAGACAGGGTCTCTCTCTGTTGCTCAGGCTGGAGTGCAGTGGCATGCTCACAGCTCACTGCAGCCTCAACCTCACAGCCTCCCAAGTAGCTGGGACTACAGCACGTGCCAGCACGCCCAGCTACTTTTTGTATTTTTTGTAGAGATGAGGTGTCACCATGTTGCCCAGGCTGGTCTTCAACTCCTGGGCTCAAGTGATCTACCTGTTTTGGCCTCCCAAAGTGCTGGGATTACAGGCGTGAGCCACTGTGCCTGGCCCCCACTTTTTTCCCTTTACATTTGGTAGAGATGTTGTCTCACCATGTTGCCCAGGCTGGACTCCGTACCTCTTGGGCTGAACTGATCCTCCTACCTCAGGCCCTCTTCTTTCTCTCCTTTTAACACAAACGACAACACTTGTCTATACTTTGCTGCTTTCCCACTTATACATCAGTATATACACATATGCCTCCTGGTGAGACCATTTTGAGGATTCAGTCTGCCTAGTATTCAAGTCCTTCAAAAATAAGACCTATGTCTAGGATTTTCTTTAGTGGTGTTAACAAAGCTCTGCAAATTTCGGCAGAGAGGCAACTTCCATGCCCCTATTTGGAAACACATTTGTGGTAGACAATCAGTAGTCACTACTGTGCAAAGGAGACTATGAGCATAATGGGGTGCGTGCGTATGTGTGTGACTATTAAGCACACATGCACCCATCTTGCTCTCCATTTTGAATCCTCTTATATACCTCTCATTCTCCTCTAGTGGCTCTCTTCTTGCAGTATTTTAAAACAAAGTCATACCTTTTCATCTCATTAAAAAAATACAAGCAACAGAAAAAAATTTTTTCGAGACAGTCTCACTCTGTCACCCAGGCTGAAGTGCAGTAGCACAGCGCAATCTCAGCTCACTGCAACCTCTCCCTCCCGGGTTCAAGCAATTCTCCTGCCTCAGCCTTCTGAGTAGCTGGATTCTGAGTAGCCCGCCACTATGCGGGCTATATTTTTAGCAGAGACAGGGTTTCACCATGTTGGCCAGGCTGGTCTCAAACTCCTGACCTCACGATTTGCCCACTTCAGCCTCCCAAAGTGCTGGGATTACAGGTGTGAGCCACCACGCCCGGCCTCAAAAAATTCTCTGCCACTTCTTCCTCTGGATTTTCCACCCTGGGTCCTCCGTTTTTGTTGTTGTTGAGACAGTTTCACTCTTTTGCCCAGGCTGGAGTGCTGTGGTGCAATCTCGGCTCACTGTAGCCTCCACCTTCTGGTTTCAAACAATTCTCCTACCTCAACCTCCTGAGTAGCTAGGATTACAGGTGCCCGCCACCACACCCAGCTAATTTTTGTTGTTTTTAGTAGAGATGGGGTTTCACCATGTTGGGCAGACTGGTCTCAATAAACTCCTGACCCCATGATCAACCTGCCTCAGCCCCGCAAAGTGCTGGGATTACGCTTCCCAACCCCTTTTTTTTGAGGTGGAGTTTCACTCTTGTTGCCCAGGTTGGAGTGCAGTGGCGCGATCTCGGCTCACTGCAACCTCCGCCTCCTGGGTTCAAGTGATTCTCCTGCCTCAGCCTCCTGAGTAGCTGGGATTACAGGCATGTGTACCATGCCCAGCTAATTTTGTATTTTTTGTAGAGACGGGGTTTCATCATGTTAGTCAGGCTGGTCTCAAACTCCTGTCCTCAGGTGACACGCCCGCCTTGGCCTCCCAAAGTGCTGAGAGGATGGGCATAAGCCATAATGCCCAGCCTTATACTCCCTTTTTATAAGTAAACTTCTTTAAATATATCATCATTTCTTTACCTCTCATTGATTTGTTCTGTTGAAATCTGACTTCCACCCTACCAACCAATAAAATGGCTCTCATCAATGTTGCTAAATTAAAGGCCTGTTTCTAAGTCTCTATCTTGTTTGACACCTTCCTGTGACATATGACATTTTGATCACACCCTTTTCTTTAAAACACTTTCTTCTCCCCAGTTTCCTTAATGTCAAGTGTCTTCTGGTTTTCCCCCTAGTACTATGGTGCTTGCTTTATAGATAAGAATAAGAGACTTCAAATATCCTAAGCCTTCTCTTATTTTCAACAGGGTTGGAGGGCCCATGGCATTTAAGTTTAAAATCTACAGGATTTATATAACGCTGATTCCTAAATATGTTTTCTACAACCCAGAGTTCTCTCCTGGACTTCAGATCTATTATCTAACAGCTACACTTCACATCCTACTGCTAACTCACAATACCCAAACTCATGATCCCCTCACTCACAAATATACTTTCTCTATTTTTTCTAGCTCAGCAAACAGTTCCCTCATTCACCCAATTGCCCAAGACCGAATCTTAGGCACTGTTCTTAACTATTCCATTGCTACCTTGACCTAATCCATCTCTACATCATAAATATCACAGTTTGAATACCTCTAAACTTTACCCTCTTTTTCTTCATTTCAAAAGCCAATAGCCACTACCATATCTCACTTAAACTACTGAAAAAAGTCTTCTAGTTAGTTTCCCTGACTGTAGTCTTCATCTCCTTTAATCCACTCTCCACAGTGCAGGCAGTATAAAATCTTAACTAAAAGTAAATCCAAACACATCACTCCAGGGCTTAAAACCCCTTTAATGGCTTCCCAATGGCTTCTTTTCATGGCTAAAAGGTCCTTTATGGCCTGTCCCTGCCTAACTTCCAACCCCTCTGTCTCTTATACCTAGTATCCTGCACCTCTCTCAATTTCCTGAACCTCCATAATCTTGCTTTGTGCCTTGGGCACACTGTTCTCCGTCTTATTTCATCTGGCTCATTCTTCTTCATCCCTCAGGTATTGAACAACACTGCTTTCTGGAAGCCTTACTAGGCACCCAGAATAGCTATGTGATTTTCTATACAGGTAGTGCTCGACTTATGACCATAGTCGGGCCCACGGAACTGTCGTAACACGATTTGGTCGTAAGTTGAGTAGGCTATATGTACAGTTGAAATGGTGCACAAGGAGATGGTAGTGCTGCCAGAAGCTGGTCCACACTGTCGTACGCCTAGCTGGGCAACGTTTGCGCTGCCAGACGCGGAGCAGTCGTGGCTAGCGATTGTGGTCGTAAAGTCGAAGAGTCGTAAGTTGCATAGGTTGTAAGTCGATCAATACCTGTAGCCTATACTTCCCCTAACCTAGTACTCTTTATGCCTCATTGTTTGCCTTGTTTACCACTAAATCTCTGGCATCTAGACCACTACATGGCACATAAGTGAGTTCAATAAATTTTTGCAAACATATGCATATTATCTCTGCCCAAATTATTTGCCTAGCTCAGCCCTGGCCCCAGCATCCATGTTTAAAAAAAAAAAAATAAACAGAATACGGGAATTGCTTGGTGCCTAGTACCTGGTGCCTCATGTAATGCTGTTGGAATGCATTGCCATTTTTGAAGACCTTCAGGCAATAAGGGCAGAGCAGATGCCGGGTATCCTCATGAATCATCCGAAAATGAACATCTACCTCAGAGTAGAGTGAGGAGCGGTATTGACACACCTGAGTCACATAAGAGGGAAAATAAGGCTAAGAATGAATGAACAACTGAGAAGCCTTAAAAAAAAAAAAAAAAGGAACAAAAATTTTTAAATAAAAAAAGCGTTTTCCCAATTGCATAGAGATCAAATTATTTTTCTGACTTTGTAATGCTGGGCTATGTTTGTGATAGATTTGGCTACTACTTTAAAAATAGGAAGAGACAGGAATGTCTGAGAACAAACCATGTTCTGTAACTAAGAAAAATAAAGGCTTTTCTATCAATTTCCAAAGAGCACGTTCAGGAGACAGCCACTCCCTTAGAATATGCACGTTCTCCGGCTAGTCTACTTGTGGACCTGTTCTTTTATGTCCTCCTCCTGCATGGAAACCCTGAAGGCAAACTGTGTTTACTATTTCTTCAGTACCTACTCAGAGTTCCTAAGCTAAGTGTATGTATTAGGCATTCAGCAATGTTCAGTAGTGGATTCTTTGTGTTCTGCCTGAGAGCAAAACTGCTAAAACTCCCTGGAGAAAAAGGCAATACCTGGCAAACATAAGGCATCTCTCCAGGCTTATGAGTATCCTTCATATGCTGGAGAAATAGTGGCTCACTTTCAAACGCCCACTCACAGATCTTGCACTTGGCTGTAAGAAGAAAAGTAATCAATAAATCCACTTGAAAATAAGATTAAAGTCCTGCTGACTCACAATCTTTACTTTCTCTGACTCCTTTATTTTCATTTTTAACAGTCAGTAAAATCACAGGTCCCTTCTATTCTTTCTTTAAATGGCTCCACTTTAACATTTGTGTTGCTGATAACTTTATGTAGCTCAGACTTCTTTCCAAAGGTTCCTTCTAGATCTTATCTACAAGACATTTTAAATTGGTTATTCTATCATCAATTCTAATGCAATTCAGCATCCTCTTGGCTTACCACTGTTTCCCTTTTTTCTTTCCCCATTTCTTCTTGAGCTCAAAATTTAGGCACTGTCTTGGACTCCAAACCCTGTATTCTGCCACCGTTATTTCAAACTGCATGTAGGAACTGCCACTTTTCTATTCTTACAAGCAAAAACTTGGTAGTAGCCCATATGACTTCCTGCTGCTAATCAGCTGGCCTCTAATACCTCCTACTCTCTTTGAAATGGTCCATTTTGTCAAGCTTATGAGATAAAATTTTATGACACAAATTAACAAAAACTTTTGTCAAGCTTATGAGACAATTTTTGGTAATTTCATGTTGGCCCAGCTGGTCTCGAACTCCTGACCTTGGGTGATCTACCTGTCTCGGCCTCCCAAAGCGCTGGTATTGCAGGTGTGAGCCACCGTGCCCAGCCCTTTTATTTTTTTTTTAAAGAGACAGAATCTTGCTCTGTTGCCCAGGCTGGAGCATGATCATAGCTCACAGCAGCCTCCTGAGTAGCTAGGACTACAGTGGCACACTGCCCAACTAATTAAATTTTTTCGTAGGGACAGGGTCCTGCCATGTTGCCTTGGCTGGTCTGAAACTCCTGGCCTCAAGCAATCTTTTCGTCAATTCACTTCAGCCCTCTCAAAGTGCTACAACTAGAGGTGTGAGCCAGCGCACTGGCCAATTTTTGTTAAGAATTTTAATTGCTACTTATTTTGGTAATTACACAGTATGGCAAAAAGAGATATTATTTACATTTTTCTCACTTTAATGGAATTAAAGATAGGAAAACTGGCAGCTTAAAGCTTTGGGCATTTGTTGGGACAATGTCTAACCTCCCCCCACCCCTAGGTCCCTGCACCCCAGCCAAAGAACTATAAATAAGGTTGAAATAATTTTTCTTTTAACTACCCAGAACCCTGGGTTTTCATTTTTGAGACAGGGTCTCGTTCTGTCTCCCAGGCTAGAGTGCAGTGGCTTAATCATGGCCCACTGCAACTTTGACCTCGCAGGCTCAAGGGATCCTCCCACCTCAGCTCCCAAACTGCCAGAATTATAAGCATGAGCCACTGTGCCTGGCCAAGTAATTCTTTAAAGCAAAACAAACAAAAGCCAGGGGTTCTTAATCTGGGGATCTAAGGAACAGGCCTCAAGGAACCCTGGTGTTCTCTGAAATTATTTGTAAAAGAGTAAAATGTGTATTTTTCTAGGAAGAAGATTCACACATTTCATGTTTATTCTCAAAGGGGTCTGCAACTCCATTTAGAAACACTGTCTAGGTGTACATTAGGTGCTATGAGGACACAGATAAGTAAGAAATTCTGCCAAAAGGAATGAGGAAAAGCTGTAATAAGATATAAAAGCTGAATTGTCAACGAAGAATGGGGTTCAGCCAGCCAGAGAGAGGACCAAGAGAAAAGCAGGAGGCAGGGTGACTAGGTACGAAAGTTAACCACATGTTCGGGCAACAGTTAACTAGCAACAGGACAGTATTATCTCCTTTCTACCCACCTCCTCCCCCATTTGTTTCTCTCTTTTAATTCTTTTTTCTTTCTTAGAACCCCTTTAAGCTACCTTTTGTCCAGGCCTTTCTTAGTCGTTTTCCCTGGGTAATCTCATTCAATCTCAAAGGCTTTTCTCCTATAACCTATTTATCAGCTCTATTTTCACAGCTGTCATGCAACATTAATAAAAATACTTATTAAGCAATGTCTAACATACAAGCATGATGTTAAGATTTACATGTGTTATTTCCAGAAAACTAGTGAGGTAGGAACTGAAATATAAGGGGATTTAAGAGATCTCTAGTGACCTCTGACACATCAGTTTTATGGGGTAAGGAGCTAATACAGAAAAAGACTCAAGAGGGAGAATGAATTGATTCTCCATAGGGGCTTTCCTAACACTGTCCCTCTGAGCACCATCACCCTCATTCCCTCCTTAACACCTAACACAATCCTCTACGGTGAGAAAATAGGCACAAACAACTACAGCTTCTGCTGGATGTTTTCCAAACTATGGAAGGACAGATCTCTTACACCGTCCTAAGGCTCATCCAACCTCATCATTCCATGTATTCCAAGATGTTGTCAATTCATTCTCCCTCTCTTGAATCTTCCCCATCCCCGACAGGCTCCAACTTCTAAACATGGTTAAGCCCCCTAAAGCATCCTTTTCTCAATCCTATTTCTTCCTCAGCATATTCTTTCTCATTTCCACTAACAGAAGATTTTTTGAAAGATTAGAATAACCTACATCTGTTACTTTTAATTGGCTGCTCAGGAGGGGGTAATGATACCAGGAGAAAAAATGTTAGAATATTTGAAGAAATGAAGCTTCAGATAGCCACTATGGAAAACAGCAATAAGAACTAATAGTTTTATCCATTTTCTAGTCCCAAATCTCTCTGAGACTAGTAAAAGCTATGCAACTTCTCCCTTGAAAAATGCACACACACAGGCAAAGTCTTCATATAATTTCAAGGGGCTCACTGGAAACCTAACCACCAAGCAGGTTAGGATTTCTGTATTAGACATAAATACTAAGACTATTAATCAGGGCCGGACGCAGTGGCTCATGCCTGTAATCTCAGCACTTTGGGAGGCTGAGGTGGGTAGATCACCTTAAGTCAGGAGTTCGAGACCAGCCTGGCCAACATGGTGAAACTCTGTCTCTACTAAAAATACAAAAATTTTAGCCAGGTGTGGTGGTGCACGCCTGTAATTCCAGCTACTCGGGAGGATGAGGCAGAATTGCTTGAACCCGGGAGGTGGAGACTGCAGTGAGCTGAGATCGTGTCATTGCACTCCAGATTGGGCAACAAGAGCAAAACTCCATCTCAAAAAAAAAACAAAAAAAAAAAGAAAAAGACTATGAATGACAGGTATGTGCCTATGAATCGGACAGGTGTGTGCCACAGCTCACACCTGTAATCTCAGCACTTTGGGAAGCTGAGGTGAGTGGATCACTTCAAGGCCAAGAGTTTGAAACCAGCCTGGCCAACATGGAGAAACCCCGTCCCTACTAAAAATACAAAAATTAGTCAGGTGCGATGCCACATGCCTGTATTCCCAGCTACTTGGAAGGCTGAGGCAGGAGAATTGTTTGAACCCAGAAGGTGCAGGCTGCAGTGACCTGTGATCGTGCCACTGCATTGGAAGGCTGAGGCAGGAGAATTGTTTGAAACCAGCAGGTGGAGGCTGCACTGAGCAGTGATCCTGCCACTGCATTCCAGCCTAGGTGACAGAGTGAGACTCTGTCTCAAAAAAAAAAAAAAAAAAAGAAAAAAATTAAGACTATGAATCAGCATCAGGCAAACTTATGAAAAGAACCCCAGAGTTAGACAAGCTCCTTTAAGTCACTCACTGCTCTTAAATTTAAGTGTGAATAAAAATGTAATGCTGGCCGGGTGCAGTGGCTCATGCCTGTAATCCCAGTACTTTAGGAGGCCTAGGTGGGTGAATCACCTGAGGTCGGGAGTTTGAGACCAGACCAGCCTGACCAACATGGAGAAACCAAAAATACAAAATTAACTGGGTGTGGTGGCGCATGCCTGTAATCCCAGCTACTCGGGAGGCTGAGGCAGGAGAATCAAACCTGGGAAGGGGAGGTTTTGGTGAGCTAAGATGGCGCCATTGCACCCCAGCCTGGAAAACAAGAGTGACTCCGTCTCAAGACAAAAAAAAAAAAAGGTAATGCTATTTTTTGAGATAGGGTCTTAATCTGTCCCCTAGGCTAGAGAGCAGTGGTGTGATCATACCTCACTGCAGGCTCAACTTGCTGGGCTCAAACGATCCTCCCACCTCAGCGTCTGCGTAGCTGGGGCTATAGCCACATGCCCTTACACCTGGCTAATTTAAAACAACAAAAACAACAAAAAAGAGATAGAGATGTGGGTTTCACTATGTTCCCCAGGCCTCAAACTCCCAGGCTCAAGCAATCCTTATGTCCTGGCCTCCCAAAGTGCTACGATTAGAGGCATGAGCCACCATGCCTGGCCTGTCATGTTATTAAGATGATACTGTTATCACAAATATTGTGGGGACAATTCAGAAAATTTTTAAATAATATTAGGTATTGGATGATATTAAGGATTTCTGATTAATTGTTAGATCTTTTTTTTTTTTCTGAGATGAAGTTTCACTCTTGTTGCACTCAAGCTAGAATGCAATGGCGCTACCTCGAATCGCTGCAACCTCTGCCTCCTGGGTTAAAGTGATTCTCCTGCCTCAGCCTCCCAAGTAGCTGGGATTACAGGCATGCACCACCACGCCCGGCTAATTTTTTGTATTTTTAGTAGAAACAAGGTTTCACCATGTTAGCCAGGCTGGTCTCAAGCTCCTAACCTCAGGTGATCTGCCCACCTTGGCCTCCTAAAGTGCTAGGATTGCAGATGTGAGCCATCATGCCTAGCCTGTTACATGTTAACAAAGGTACTGTGGCCATAAAAAAAAAAAAAAAAAGGCCTTATTTTTAGAGATACGTATTAAGGCATTTAGGGGAAAAATATATGAGGTCTACAATTAATAAACAATTCAGAAAATAAAAGAAAAAAAATCCCCCAAAATATTAGCATTTAAAAATAAGCGACTTTTTGAAAAGGTATCTACACTCCCATGTTTATTGCTGCACTATTCACAATAGGCAAAATATGGAATCAATCTAAGTGCCCAGCAACAGATAAATGGATAAAGATGTGATATATATATCAAATGGAATATTACAGCCATAAAAAGAATGAAATTCTGTCATGCAGCAACATGGTTAGAACTGGAGGTCATTAGGTTAAGTGAAGCAAGCCAAACACAAAAAGACAAACATCACAGGTTCCTACTCATATGTGGGAGCTAAAAAAAAGTGGATCTCAGGAAGACAGAGTAGAATGGTGGTTACCAGAGGCTGGCAAGAGTAGGGGAGGTGGAAGTTGAAGAGAAGCTGATCAACAGGTACAAATACGTGGTTTGAAAGAAGAAATAAGACCTAGTGCTAGATACATCAGTAGGGTGACTACAGTTTACAATAACCTGTTGTACATTTCAAAATAGCTAGAAGAGAATAATTTGAATGTTTCTAGCATAAAGAAAAAACACATTTAAAAGTGATGGATATTCCAAGTATATTGATTTAATTCAAATTATATGAATGTATTAGATTTTCACATGCATCCCTAAACCATGCACAGCTATTATGCATCCATTCTTTTTTTAAAAAAGCTACTTTCGGGCTGGGAACAGTGGCTCACGCCTGTAATCCCAGCACTTTGGGAAGCCAAGGCAGGCGGATCACGAGGTCTGGAGTTCGAGACCAGCCTGGCCAACACTGTGAAACCCCATCTCTACTAAAAAAACAAAAAAATTAGCAGGACGTGGTGGTGGGCGCCTGTAATCCCAGCTGCTCAGGAGGCTGGGGCAGGAGAATCGTTTGAAATGGGAAGGCGGAGGATGTAGTGATCTGAGATCATACCACCGCCCTCCAGCCTGGGTGAAAGAGTGAAACTCCATCTCAAAAAAAAAAAAAAGTTACGTTCGGCTGGGCATGCTGGCTCATGCCTATAAATCCCAGCACTTTGAGAGGCTGATGCAGGTGTATTATTTAAGGCCAGGAGTTTGAGACCAGCCTGGCCAACATGGTCTCTACTAAAAGTACAAAAAAAAATTAACTGGGAATGGTGATACATACCTGTAATCCCAGAAACTCAGGAGACTGAGGCACAAGAATTGCTTGACAACAGGAGGTGGAGGTAGCAGTGAGCCGAGATTTCACCACTGCACTCCAGCCTGGGTGACAGAGCAACTGTCTCAAAAAAAAAAAAAAAAAAAAAAAAAAAAAAATAGGCCAGGTGTGGTGGCTCATGCCTGTAATTCCAGCACTTTGGGAGGTCGAGGTAGGTGGACTGCTTGAGCTCAGTAATTTGAGACCAGCCTGGGCAGCATGGCAAAACCCTCTCTCTACAACTCCCACCTACTCCCCACAAAAAACCCAAAAATTAGCTGGGCATGGTGGCACGTGCTTTTAGTCCCAGCTATTCAGGAGGCTGAGCTGGGAGGATGATCTTAGCCTGGGAAGTGGAGGTTGCAGTGAGCCAAGACTGTGCCACTGCACTCTAGCTTGGCTAACAGAGTGAGACCCTGTATCAAAAACCAACCAACCAAACAAACAAAAGACCTACTTTCATGCAGGACCTGTCATGGGTGCAAAAAAGGAAGTCACAAAAGCATGCAAGAATAAAACTGATACATACTAAGGAAAGGTGATTTTGGTAAGTATAAAATTTCATCATTAAGAGACTCAAAAATTAAAAGGAAAACCAGAAAAAAAAGATCAATGAGGGTCTACATTGCCTGTTTCTTTTCCAAAAGGAAAACCTTATCTTCCCTCTGTGGAATTTTGTTATGTGTACAATTTTGGAATCACAAAACCTACCCACCGTATTATGCATGGAAATGAGTTAGGTGTCCAGGCTGGACAACATAGCAAGACCCTGTCTCTACCCCTCTGAAAAAGGAATAAATTAGCTGGTATGGTGGTATATGCCTACAGTCCCAGCCACTCGGGAGGCTGAGGTGGGAGGACTGGTGGAGCCCAGGAGGTCAAGGCTGCAGCGAGCTATGATTGCACCACTGTACTCCAGCCTGGGTGGCAGAGCAAAACCCTGTTGTCTCAAAAAACTGGTGTTTTCACTGAGAGGTGTGGATGAGTTACTCTGGCTTCACAGAACTGACAGTGAAGAATCTTGAGTTCTATTCTAGACCAAGCTGGCTACCCTAGCACTACATGCAGTCACCATTGATTCTTTTTCTTTTTTGAGACACAGTCTCGCTCTGTCACTCAAGCCGGCGTGCAGTGGTGTGATCATGGCTCACTGTAGCCTTGACCTACTGGGCTCAAGCAATCCTCCCATCTCTACTTCCTGAGTAGCTAGGACCATAGGTGTACGTCGCCACACCCAGCTAATTTTGTTTTTGTAAGAGACGGGGTTTCTCCATGCTGCCCAGGCTGGTCTCAAATGCCTAAGCTGAAGCAATCTGTCTACCTCGGCCTCTCAAAGTGCTGAGATTAGAGGCCTGGGCCCTTGCACTTGGCCTGGTTGATTCCAATACACATTCTACTCCCGAATGATCAGTCCAAAGTTCCACTGTCTACTACGGTGGCACCAGCAACACTATCCAGTGAACACTTAAAATGTGGTAAGCTTAAATCCAACTTAGATTTGTATTTCAAAAAATCTTTTTAATGGAGGAAAAAGAATGACAAATACCTCAATTTTAAATTTTGATTTCATGTTGAAATGATTTTAAATATACTGAATAAATATGCCATTAAAATTAACTTTGCCTGGTTTTTGAAACTTTACAGTAGACTTCCTTTGCCAATGAGAAATGTATGTTCCAAGACCTCAAGTACATATATGAAACCTCAGATGGCACTGAACCCTATACATACCATGTTTTTTCCTATTTATACATATCTATGATAAACTTTGATTTATAAATAAGGCAAAGAGATTAACAATAAAATTATTACATAATTATATATTAATAGGAAAATTATAACATACTGTAATAAAAGTTATGTGAATGTGGTGTCTCTCTCAATAATGTTATTGTACTGCACTCACCTATTTTTGGACTGTGGTTGACTGAGACTAATTGAAACTGAGGATAAGGGAGGCACTACTGCATTTAAAGTGAAAAAATTAAAATTACCCATGAAGCTTGCATATTTCTATTGCCTAGTGTTAGTGTAAGCCATTAATGTCAATCCCATTTCCCTTGCCAATAAATGGTTTAGTAATGCACCTATGACCCAATTATGGTCAATCAAAGAGATATAAAAGGAAAGCAATTCTCACTTATAAGAACACAGATTCAGGAAAGAAAGACAGGAAGATAAGGTCTCTTCTTTCTCTAGACAATTTTTTTTTTTTTTTTTTTTTTTTTTTTGAGACAGAGTTTCGCTCGTTACCCAGGCTGGAGTGCAATGGCGCGATCTCGGCTCACCGCAACCTCCGCCTCCTGGGTTCAGGCGATTCTCCTGCCTCAGCCTCCCTAGTAGCTGGGATTACAGGCACGTGCCACCATGCCCAGCTAATTTTTTTGTATTTTTAGTAGAGACAGGGTTTCACCATGTTGACCAGGACGGTCTCGATCTCTTGACCTCGTGATCCACCCGCCTCGGCCTCCCAAAGTGCTGGGATTACAGGCGTGAGCCACCGCACCCGGCCCCAAAAATGGATACGTTTAATATACTATCTTGTTCTCACATTTTTCTATATTTACCTAATTTTTATCTTTACGACAAAACTGGAAATCCCAGAAAGGACATCAGAAGTATTCTAAATACTAGGCTTAAATCCTTACTATGTCTCTTTAGTAGAGGTATACACTTACAAGCAAATGACTTAATTTCTTTGAGCTTATGTTCAGCCTACATCTTAAAATGTCCAGTATAGAAAACACTCCAACTCACCTTATATTTCATTGAAAGCAATGTCTTAATGATAAAGTACTTCATATTATATTTTATCCTATTTAATTTGAGTTTATGTTCAGCCTACATCTATAGAATGTACAGCGTAGAACACACTCCTGCTCATCTTTCATTGAAAGCAGTATCTTAATCATAAAGTACTTCATAATACTATCTTTTATCCTACATAAAACCTATCAGGGTATTAACTAAGTAGAGGTGCAAATATAGATGAGTGTTCCTTCTATTAAGAGACCCGAGAAATAAATTCATTAAATTTGCTTTTCCATAGTGGTCCTGAATCAAGGCCCCTAATAATTCAGGACCTAACACTGAACTCAATCCATACTTAAACAAAATAAAAGTCAGGCTTGTAAAAAAACAAGGTGAATGAAACAAAGAACTGGCTACAAATATGAAAAGCACTTCCTCTACACTGTTACCCACATGTAAATAAACATAATGGGCTCCCCCGCAGCGCCATTCAATTAGTGAACAGAAGGGTATGTTCCCCTAGACTTTAAGAGTTTCCAAACTTACTAGTAGATTCATAGGGACTATGAACATTTTCCAAGTGGCACTGAAGCTGGAAGGGAGTGGAAAACTGGCGGTAACAGTGCTGGCAGATAGTGTGACCATCTACCTCGCCGTTCTGCTGATCGAGTTCTACATGGTGTTTCATATGGTTCATGAATCTATAATAAAGCACAAAGAAATTACAGAAAACAAAAAATCGGTAGCTTTTTAGAAATGTAATGGTAAAATCACAGAACAAACATTATCTGCTCCCCTCCATTCCCCAAACTTCCTGTTTGGGATATCCTTTTCTGAGCCCAGACAGCTGAGTTCTTGAAACTAAGGGAGTTCTGTGAAAGGAGATGCACTGGTTTCCCTTACTTAATCCAGTTACCTTTTGTTTATTACCACAGTGTCTCCTTCTATAGTCCTAGTTATAGATTGAATGATAACCCCAGCAAGACTGCATAGTAGTTAGGTCCATTCTCCAAAGAGAAAGACTTAAAATATGTAAGAAAATGTAAGTCTTCTCTTGTCCAAGGTAACTTCCAAGGCTCTTCAACACTTACCGAATATTGTTTTTTAGCCTTTTGGTACAATGAGGGCATCGGAAAGATGTGGCGACCTTAGGGAAATTTGTGAGCTGGGCTACTTTGCCACCATCCCGTCCATAGTAGAAGTCATCTACAAGCATAATGAGTTTGGTCTGGACGGCATCACCCACGTTCTCATTTGGCTCTGGTACTTTGGTAGGTGGTGACAGAGCAGGAATAGGTGTAGAAGAGGGTGTGGAAGCAACAGGAGCTGTTTTCTCAGGGGATGGGGGCTTTGCTGCTGATGGGACACTGGGTTCTGAATCCAGGGACTTTCCTTTCTTCTGGTATTCAACCATTTCTGGGCAACAGTACTATAAAGAAAGACATCTGATCATTCTGGTTATCCTGGGGGCTAGAATGTGCTAACTCCTTAACTTCACTACCATTCCTTGTTTATTTATTTATTGTTTATTTATTGAGACAGGGTTTCACCCTGTTAGCCAGGATGGTCTCAATCTCCTGGCCTAGTGATCCACCCGCCTTGGCCTCCCAAAGTGCTGGGATTACAGGCGTGAGCCACCACGCCCAGCCTGCCATTCCTTGTTAACAGTTTGTTTTTAAGTATTCTGACTCAGCTTTCACCCTTCAGTTTTCTACAGTGTTTCCAAGTGTCACTCTTTTTCTAGAGTACAGCCACAGCCACCCAAGCACCATACTCTGTACTTCTCCCTCCTGACTGTCTTAGGTCCCTTAATCAGTATAATTTGGCTCTGAGCTCCCTGGCAAAAAGAAGTTCCAACTTTTATATCTAGACTAATACCAAAACATGAAAATGCTAAAAAAAGAAAATAAGAGCTCCTGATTCATCCAATGACACAATTAACAGAAAACAAACTGAGGCCAAAATGGTTTGAGTTCTTATTATCCATAAACCTGTTTTCCCATGTGATTTCAAAATCTACCATGCTAAGAAAGTAAGATCACCTATGTTCTGATCTATCTGAGGGTCTTTAAATGTATCCCAACTCATTCCGAAGTACACAGCTCTTCTAAAAACAGACCAAGAGAAACAGTAATCCTTTAAAAAGCTTCAGTCATTTTAGAGCCCCGGCTTCACAAGCTTCCAATATTAATGAAGGTAAATGGCAGAAGCCACTTAAGCTGGATCACAGGTGATATCACTTACACACATGTGACCTCTCAAAGCTTCAGTAACACGAAATTGAGCATTACATCGTGGACATATTTTCCGTCCACCATCCTGGAGGTCAAATACTGGTATGGAAGAGGTCACTGAAAGAAGTGAGAAGAATTGAGAAGATTAATACAATGACACTGGAAAAAGATTACTAACCTTTTGGGAAAAGGTCAAATATTCCCTGAGAAGTATATAAAAGGGTAAGCAAGCATGAGATCACTATGGTTTTTTTTTTTTTTTTTTTTTTTTTTTGAGACAGGGTATCTCAGTCTGTCGCCCAGGCTGGAGTGCAGTGGCATGACCACAGCTCACTGCAGCCTTGACCTCCCTGGGCTCAAGATCACTATGTTTGAGGCAGATCCTTTTATTGTTCTAACTCTAGGCCAGGGTTCAGCAAACCACAGCTCACAGATCAAATCCAGCCCAGCTGCCAGTTTGTTTGGCCCATAAGCTAAAAATAATTTTTACATGAGTTTTTTTGTCAAGTAAGATTTTTGTTTTTTTAGTCTTGGAGAATGGAAACTATATCCAATAAAAAACTCCTCTCCATTTTCTCCTTGCCTCTGCCCCTGCCTCTATGAATTTGACTACTCTAGTACTTCAAGTGGAATCACATAGTACTTGTCCTTTTGTGACTAGCCTATTTCACTTTACCATAATGTCTTCAAGGTTAAACCACGTTGTAGCACATGTTGTAGCAGGATTTCCTTCGTTAAGCCTGAATAATATACCATTGCATGTAAATACATTTTATTTATCTCTTTATCAGCTGATGGACCTCTGTGTTGCTTTCACCTTTCAGAGCCATTGTGAATAATGTTGCAATGAATATAGGTATGCTAGTCCCTGCTTTCTTTTCTTTTCTTTCTTTCTTTTTTTTTTTTTTGAGACAGAGTTTCACTCTTGTTGCCCAGGCTGGAGTACAATGGTGCAATCTTGGCTCACCGAAACCACAACCTCCACCTCCCAGGTTCAAGCAATTCTCCTGCCTCAGCCTCCCAAGTAGCTGGGATTACAGGTGCCTGCCACCACACCCAGCTAATTTTGTGTTTTTAGTATAAAAGGGGTTTCTCCATGTTGGTCAGGCTGGTCTTGAACTCCCGATCTCAGGTGATCACCCACCTCCACCTCCCAAAGTACTGGGATTATAGGCATAAGCCACCATGCCCTGCCCCCTGCTTTCAATTCTTTTGGGTATAGCCCCAGAAGTGGACTTGCTGGAGCAATAATTCTATCATTTTTAATTTTTTGAGGAACTACCATACTGTTTTCCAAAGCGGCTGCATCATTTTACATTTCCACCAACAGTGCATAAGGGTTCTGCTTTCTCCACATCCTCAGCAATATTTGCTATTTTCTGGTTCTTTCATAGTAGCCGTCCTAATGGGTGCGAGATGGTACCTCATTGTGGTTTTGATTTGCATTTCCATAATGATTAATAATGCTGAGCATCTTTTCGTGAGCTTATTGGCTATTTTATAATTTTATTTGGAGAAACACCTATTTAGTCCTTTGCCTACATTTGTCTTTTTTTCTTTGAAAGAGAGTCTCACTCTGTTGCCTAGGCTGGATTGCAGTGGCGTGATCTTGGCTCACCACAACCTCTGCCTTCCAGGTTCAGGCAATTCTGTCTCAGCCTCCCTAGTAGCTGAAACTACAGGCACCTGGCTAATTTGTGTGTTTTTAGTAGAGACAGGGGTTTTACCATACTGGTCAGGCTGGTCTTGAACTCCTGACCTCAGGTGATCCACCTGCCTTGGCCTCCCAAAGTGCTGGGATTACAGGCGTGAGCCACCGCGCCTGGCCTTCCTTTGCCTATTTTTAAAAAAGGGTGTTTGGGTTTTTTTGATGTTGAACTGCAGGAGTTCTTGACATAGTCTGGATTTTAACCCCTTACTAGATATGCAATTTGCAAGTATTTTCTCCTGTTCTATGGCTTCCCTTTGCACTGTGTTGATAGTGTCCTTTGAAGCGTAGAAGTTTTAAATTTTGATGTAATTCAATTTACCCATTTTTTCCCTCTTCTTGTCTATGCTTTTGGTGTCTTATACAATAAATAGTAATCATTGTCAAATCCAGTATCACGAAACTTTTTGTTCTATGATTTTTCCAAGAGTTTTATAGTTTTAGTTCATTTAGGTCTTTGATCCATTTTGAGTAAATTTTTGTATTTAATAGTGTAAGGTGAGCTCTAAGTTCTTTTTTTGGACGTGGATATCTAGTTTTCCCAATACCATTTTTTAAAGGTTTCTACTTTTTTTTGAGACAGGGTCTCTTTCTATTGCAGGTAAGGTGAGCTCCAACTTCATTTTTTTCGACATGGATATCTAGTTTTCCCAATACCATTTTTTTTTTTTTTTTTTTTTTTGAGACGGAGTTTCGCTCTTGTTACCCAGGCTGGAGTGCAATGGCACGATCTCGGCTCACCACAACCTCCGCCTCCTGGGTTCAGGCAATTCTCCTGGCTCAGCCTCCTGAGTAGCTGGGATTACAGGCACGCGCCACCATGCCCAGCTAATTTTTGTATTTTTAGTAGAGACGGGGTTTCACCATGTGGACCAGGATGGTCTCGATCTCTCGACCTCGTGATCCACCCGCCTCGGCCTCCCAAAGTGCTGGGATTACAAGCTTGGGCCACCATGCCCGGCCCCCAATACCATTTTTTTAAGGTTTCTAATTTTTTTTGAGACAGGGTCTCTTTCTGTTGCAGTGACATGATCATGGCTCATTGCAGGCTCAACCTTCAGGGTTCAAGCCATCCTCTCACTTCAGATTCCTGAGTAGCTAAGGATTGCAGACATGCACCGTCATACCTACTCTAATTTTTTTTTTTTTTTTAAGAGACGAGATCTCACCATGTTGCCAGGCTGGTCTCAAACTCCTAGGCTCAAGTGATCCTCCTACCTTGGCCTCCCATAATGCTGGGATTATAGGTAGGAGTCACCGCATCTTGCAGTTTTTATTTTTAAATGGTTGAAATTAAAAGAACAATATTTCCTGACACCTGTAAATTTTATGAAACTTAAATTTCAGAGTCCATAAATGTTTTTAGTGGAACACAGCCATGCTCATTCACTTACATATCTGTGGCTGCTTCCACACCACAACAGCACAGCTGAATAGCTGCAACAGAGGCTATATTGTGCAGAAAGCCTGCAAATTTACTACTGGGCCCTTTATGGAAAACATTTGCTGACCCCTGCTCTAGACCACTGAAAACCCTCATGCTTGTATCGTTCTCAACCTGAAGATCTCTCTACCAAATCCCAACTTTAAAACCTTATTCAGAAACCCATCGCTTCCATTAAGTTCTCTTTTATTATGTCATCCATCTCTGATCAATTTCACTAATCCCCGAAGCAAAATTATACACAGAATTTCTTGGAGCTAATTCAGTTACACTTTTTATAAGTGGCTTACTCCTTACTAAAGTTTCTGTAAGAACAAACTACAGCAGCTATATTCTATTTCATTTCTCTATTTTCGAGTATAGAGCTCTGAGGTAACACTTTATTAATGTTTTTCAATGACTGGCTGCTCAGGGTCTTTCAGGTTATTGTACCTTTCATTGAAGATTCAGGTCCACTGGTTCTTTGAGAGCCATGAGCAGAGCTGTTGTTGGATACCACCACTGGCCCAGGACTCTGGCCCAAGGAAGGGATGGTGTTAAGGGTATTCACCAATTTGGCCACTTCATTGCTATTTTCACCGGTAACGCCAGGTCGCTTCACAGTGACAAAGCTGGCAATGCTCACTGCAGGTGGAGAGGGGAAGGAGGGAGCTATGGTGACCAAGTGAAAATCATCTGTTCTCCACCCACCATCCCATCCTAGCTCTGCCATCTCCTCTTCCCAAGCCTTACCTAGCTTGGGATTCGTGGTCTGGTTTGACTGGCCTGGAGATTGAACAGCTAGCTGCCCCAGTGAGGTTGGCTGTGTGGCAGTGGGAGTGGTGGAAGTGCTGGGAGTGGACTTGGTCTGCTGGGACTGGGACTGTGGAACGGTGCTTCGAATGGTGAGAGTGGCCGGGATGACGGTGGTGAAGGTGTTGGTGGTGGGCCTCACAGGCATTGTGGAGCCTGGCCTCACAGGGGTCATCTGAGAGAACACTTGCGGAACTCCAACTGTCGGCTTAACGAACTGGGTACCTGGGGCTTTAAAAGAGAGACAAAGTGCCAGATCTTGGTCAATGAGCTCACCTAGAACACATTCTCCCTGCCTTTGCTGGAAAGATTATTTCCCCAATCTGATGGTTGATCCTCAGAGGTTACCAAGAGTAGTATAGATTCTAGACTAAGAAAGCAGGAGGTGTCCATGATGACAAAAGCAATTTGCCTGGGTAGCGTAAAAACATTCTGTTAAAGAAGACTCCCATCAAATCCTTCCAAAACATCTTACCGCACCGCCTTTTTAATTCTAATATAATCAGTAGCTTGACCTCGGTACTAGAAAAAAAGAGTAGGAGGCAATATAGGTGTATATAGGCCAAATGGCAGACCTGGTCCTCAAAAAAGAAACTAGTTTTTCTCACAGTACTAAAGGAGTCTTCCATTCTTTTCTACAAACTCAGAAGACAGACTACGCCCTTCTACTAGGATGTCCCAAAGGAGAATGTCTCCGGGCTCAACTGTAGACAATCAACTGAGAAAAATAAAGAAACACCAGGGCAAGCTGGTCAGATTGAGGGCCAAAAACTCCTGTGGGCTATGAGAACAAAAAAGAAAACCTTAGGAAGACAAGCTACAGCAGTACCCTTACAAATAGCTAAATTAAGATTTTTTTTTTTTTTTGGTCTGAACTGTAGTAAACTTATACATACTAAATAAAGAAATGAAAAATTCCAAGATTTTAAAAATTATCCTTCTCAGAATCTTTAGGAAAAAAAAAAAATCCAGAATTTATCCATAAAGGGAATGTCATTTGGTTATATCTAAAATCTATGCTATAAAAGTACAATGAAGTTTATAATCACACTGTGCAAATAAGTAGATGTATAAGGAGTATACAATTTGGGAGTTTGCATTAATAACATTCCTCCAGGATAACAAACTTAATAGCTGACTAAATACCAGTCACAGAAAAATGACTATAAACTGTTTTACTATCTCATGAAGGGTGGTGAAAAGCTAAACAGGAATAAATAAAACCACCACCCTGGCCAAAGGTTAGAAACAGATTTTTAAAAATTGGGCTTAATTCATTAAGATTTTTATGTTTTTAGATTTTCTTTAAACATACTTATAAAATGACTTAGGGTACTCAAAACAACAAAAACAAATCTTCTGGATGCCGGTTTATTCCAAATGGATAGACATTTTTCCTTACCTGGGACTAGTGTAATTGGTCTAACCGTTTGGCCTTGCTGTACGTTCAGCACAATCCCAACCTGATTCATTGCATTTTGTACAGGCCGGACATTCCTTACAGGAAATCCCTGTATTAAAAAGCAAAATGATCTTTAACATGGAGACCAACTAACACTAACAGATTGCAGTATGACCTACATCCAAAAAAATGCCCATACTCTTAATGGTTCTCTCTAGAATTAGAGCTTTCAGATGACTGAGATGGAAAAATTTAGGAAATTTTGGCAAACTTTTGAGTGACAAAGTATCAAAACTAGAGAACAAGCTTTGGTACATACGAGCAAAAATGAAAACTTGTTTCCTGACCTAAGAGAGCATCAGCTTTAAAAAAACCTCAACAACAGATTGGCTCCCTAAAGTGCTAAATGAATAGAAGGGGGAGGGTGGCGTGCGGGGAGTGGGTGGGGGAGAAGAATAGTGTTCATTGGAGTGAGTCAACATACAAACAATCCTAAGATATTGTTCCCAAAGTCTGCTTCAAAGACCATAAACCTTTGGCAAATTCAAAAGCATTTATAACTCAGGAAGCCATAGGCAAAGAAATGGCATTTGCCTTTAGAATCCATATTCAGAATTAGACTTTCAACTTCAATTCAATATATTATATATCAAATAAGTCATCTTCCCTATCTTCCAAAGGTCCCCATGAACTCCACCAACACCAATTACATATATACATCTCCAAAAGTTAACTAACTCATCCCATGTGAAGCGGAGCAGTCCATGCAAAGGGTGAAAAGTCTCGAGAGCCAAGTGTTAAGGCTTCCTAATCCAAGCTTGCCCAGGAATTAATGCCTACACTTTAATCAAATTACTTAATAAACTTCTAAGGGGTTTAAAGAGGATATTACCCAACCATGCTATACTAGGCATTCCATAGTCAGCATCAAATTACAGAACAGTAAATGAGAAAGTAAGGTCAAAAGACGACTTAGAACTACTTCTAATGGTGCTAAAGACCCTAAGTCAGAGCTTTCAGAGGGTCATATTCTTTCTCTCCTCCAGCAACCTTGAAATTCAGAGTCCTACTCACCTGCGTAGTGATAAATATTGGTTGTGAGGCCACAGGGGAACTAGTCACATGGTTGGCATTCTGCATGACCTGAACAGGCCTCAATACTGGTTGAGTAACCATTGTGCCCAGACCTGGGGCTGGATTCTGGGTCAGGATGAGCGGCTGTCCACCTTGCTGGACCAGAGGGTTGCCAGCTAAAACGTTAAGGGGGGAAGAAAAAGGAACGTTAGAAACAATGTTAAACCTACCTTTTATTTTATTTATTTGAGACAGCATCTCACTCTGTTACCCAGGCTGGAGTGCAGTAGCACAGTCATGGCTCCCTGCAGCCTCAACTTCCTGGGCTTGAGCCATACTTCCACCTCAGCCTCCCAAGTACAAATCCACATTTTGTAAGAAACAGAAATGGTGTCCCAGATGCCAAAATATCCAAGACTGCCATTCACCATGTTTAATGTGACGAAACTCACCAAAAATTTAAGCTTCACCCAAATCTACAACTAACAGAAAAATAGAATGGGTAGGGGAGGTTCACTAATATTTTACCCATATTAGAATTCTATGTGGCTATCACCTTGACTCTCATGATTTAAGGTGACCACACATAATCTCCCCTACCAAATCAGCACGGAACAGAATATGTTAAGTCTTTTTCCATATTTTAACTAGGTAAAACCTATTTTATTAGAATATAATTTGTTAGCTAATCCCCCTTAATTCTTTAAAAACAATAGTCATCAACAAACATTAATTCAGCAAGTACACAAAATCTAAAGAATGGTTTCTCTTCCTAGTAAGTTAAATCTGAGAAATCCAAGATTCTTTTAGCAACCACTGTCTTTTATAAGGGAACCCAGAGACTGACAGGCTACCTTTCTCTTTATGTCATCAGGGCTGAGAAACAGAAGACCCAGACAAAAACTAATCCACACCAAGTAAGAATGACATGATTTCAGAAGATAATGATTCATTCATGAATAAAAATATGAATAAATAGGGCTATTATTGAAATATCTTAAACTCTTTACATTTGTGAGAAAATAATTTCATAAATATTTTTAAGTCCCCTATTTCATGACATTTGGTGGAAAAAAAAAAATCAACACTAAGCTTCCTGATATACAAAGAATACTCAAAACCAGATAGAGAATTTAGGCGCAAGAGTCAAGCAGGCTAGGCACAGTGGCTCACACCTATAATCCCAGCATTTGGGAGACTGAGGCAGATGAATCACTTGAGGCCAGGAGTTCAAGACCAGCCTGGCCAACATGACAAAACCCCGCCTCTGCTAAAAATACAAAAATTAGCCAGGCATGATGGCGCATACCTGTAATTCCAGCTACTAGGGAAGCTGAGGCAGGAGAATTGTTTGAATCAGGGAGGCGGAGGTTACAGTCAACCAAAATTGTGCCACTGCACTCCAGCCCAGGCGACAGAGCAAGATTCTGTCTCAAAAAACAAAACAAGAACAATAAAAAACAAAAAACCAAAGAGTCAAGCAAAATATTGCTCAACTTTTTACCCAAAATCACCAGAATGGGGCAGGCCCCTCTGAAATGTATGTTCCACTTGGCAGGTCCGTCACCACAGTTAACTACAAAGCTAGACCACCAAAGGAATAGGTATGCAGGTGGCTACTAACAGGCCAACAGTGGCTTATCTCACACTCCCTCAGAAACTGAGAGCTCATCAGTAGACTAGACCTTCAGTTACTGAGCCAGAAGACTAGTGATTGTAGAGGTGGCTAGATAAATAAAACAGAATTCCAGCAAGTTCTATCCATGTTAAATTATATGGGCAATTTATTGATGGTGAGTTTTTAAAATTTTTAAATGTTTTATTATGGAGAAGTTAAAACATACATAGAAACAGAACACTATGGTGAACCCCTGCGTAACCACCACCGTGCTTCGATAGTTATCAATGCATGGCAGGTCTTATTTCATCTATACGTCCTATACATGTACTAGCTCCCATGTTACTTTAAAACAAGTTCTAGATCATATCATCTATAAATATTTCAAAATGTACCTCCTATATAAGGATTTCAAAAAAAGATAAAGAATCAGACCAACATAACTCCTGAACATTCAATATCAAATACCCAGTCAAAATTAAATTTTACTTATTTGTATTTTTTTTTTTTTCTCCGAGACGGAGTTTCGCTCTTGTTACCCAGGCTGGAGTGCAACGGCACGATCTTGGCTCACCGCAACCTCCGCCTCCTGGGTTCAGGCAATTCTCCTGCTTCAGCCTCCTGAGTAGCTGGGATTACAGGCACGCGCCACCATGCCCAGCTAATTTTTGCATTTTTAGTAGAGACGGGGTTTCACCATGTTGACCAGGATGGTCTCGATCTCTTGACCTTGTGATCCACCTGCCTCGGCCTCCCAAAGTGCTGGGATTACAGGCTTGAGCCACCGCACCTGGCCTATTTGTATTTTTTAAAGAGTTTGTCTGAATCCAGTTACAAAATGTTCACAAAGTGCAATGGATGAACAACACTCAAGCCTTTTAATCTATAGGTTCCCCAACCATCTCTTTCTATCCTTTTGAAATTTATGGTTGAAAAATATTGACTAAGCAAAAGTCTGTATTTTCTAGTCATTATTTTAACTGCTAGGACAAAAGAAAATAAATTATCTCTTATTTATCCTAATCCTAAAAAATATTAAGATAATTCCTGGCTATCATATCCAGTTTGGGAAGATAAAAAAACAAGTAAAAAAAAAAAAAAAGACAATTCCTGGCTCAATATTCCAATTAAATACAAGAAGGGAAACGTGGAGGTTTTTTGCATTTATGTGAAATCAATCACCATTCCCAAGTCTCTTAAAGACAGACCAGGTTTCCATGAAACCCGTAAATACCATTATAAAGAATGTTAATAGCATTTTCTGCAAATATTTTCTCTTATGGCAGGGTCAAGTTTAAATTTTGGTGGAATGTTAGAATTTTTCCAAAAATACGGGACAAAGAAAATAGTGGTTTTTGAAGACCAGATTAGATTCACAATTCAATGGAAAACAAAAGCCAGCCTATGGAAAGTCACACTGGGTAAATTATACTTGCTTATTTAGAAGCATTTTAAATAATTTCTGCAATCTTATTAAATCTTTGCTCAAAGGAATTCTGACAATTCAAATGTCTTACAAGGTTCTATTTCCAAAGGATGAAAGGGCAATCAGAATTCTGGTACTTTAAAAAAAGACTTTAAGAGGATTATCCAGCCTGGGGCAGTGGTATGCACCAGTAGTCCCAGCTATTTGAGAGGTTAAAGCAGGAGGATCACTTGGGCCCAGGAGTTTGAGTCCAACCTGAGCAACACAGTGAGACCCCAAAGCAAAAACAAAACAAGGCTCACGTCTATATCAGCACTTTGGGAGGCCAAGGCAGGCGGATCACTTGAGGTCGAAACCAGCCTGGCCAACATGGTGAAAGTCCACCTCCACTAAAAATACAAAAGTTAGCTGGGCATGGTGGCACATGCCTGTAATCCCAGCTACTTGGGTGACTGAGGCACAACAATCACTCAAACCCAGGCGGCGGAGGCTGCAGTGAGCCAAGATCCTGCTACTGGACTCCAGCCTGGGCAGCAGTGTGAGACTCAGAATAAAAAACGAAAAACAGCCAGGTATGGTGGTGTGTGCCTGCAGCTCCAGCTACTTGGGGGCGTGAGGTGGGAGGACTGTTTGAGCTTGGGAGGTGAAGGATACAGTGAGCCAGCCATGTTCGTGCCACTACTACACTCCTGCCTGGGCAACAGTGTGAGACCCTGTCTCAAACAAAGCAAACCAAACCTAACAAACAAACAAATGAAACAAAACAATCTACTTCATTGAAAATGAATTCCATGAGTTTTCTTCTGTTCTTCAGACATCATATAGTACCAAGCACATTATGAATTAAAAAACAAAAATTCAAAGAAGTATACAACTAAGTTTCTCCAAGTTATTTTGATTAATTTTTTTTCATTTTTTTCCCCCCACATGGAGTGCAATGGCAGGATCTTGGCTCACTGCAACCTCCGCCTTCCATGTTCAAGTGATTCTCCTGACTCAGCCTCCCAAGTAGCTGGGATTACAGGCACCTTGCCACTACGCCTGGCTAATTTTTTTTTAGTAGAGATGGGGTTTCACTATTTGGCCAGGCTGGTCTCGAACTTCTAACCTCAGGTGATCCACCCACCTCGGCTTCCCAAAGTACTGGGATTATAGGCAGGAGCCACCGAGCCCGACCTTCCTTCACTCTTTATGTTTACTTACATACCCAGAAATAGAGGACTAAATAAAATAGGAATTGAAAACCATAATTAGTTACATTGCAAGAAATATATAACACATATCATTCAGAACTCTAAAGAATTAAGCAATAGTTTATTTCATTTCATAATGTTTCCTTCCTGTGCAAACGTAAGATCAGTCAGAACTTATGTTTGCACAGGAAGGAAACATTATGAAATGAGATACTGAGTAATAAATTCTAAAGAACATGAAAGAGAATAGTAAAAATATTCCACCATGCAATGAGCTGAGATCATGCACTCCAACTCAGGAAAACAGAGTTGAGACTGTCAAAAAAAAAAAAAAATTCAAAAATTTTATTCCTGATACTTTCTTTTTTTTTGAAACAGAGTCTTGCTCTGTCACCCAGGCTGGAGTGCAGTGGTACGATCTCAGCTCACTGCAACCTCCACCTCCCGGGGTCAAGTGATTCTCCCGCCTCAGCCTCCCGGGTAGCTGGGACAACAGGCAAGTGCCACAATGCCCGGCTAATTTTTTTGTATTTTTAGTAAAGACGAGGTTTCACCATGTTGATTAGGCTGGTCTTGAACTCCTGACCGCAAATGATCTGCCCACCTCGGACTTCCAAATTGCTGGGATTACAGGTATGAGCCACTGCACCCAGAACCTAATACTTTCTTAAAGACAAAACACACACACAAAAACAAACCCAGCTTTGCGTATAATCTACATATTACCCATTTAAAGTACACAATTGAGTGACTTTTAGTATATTCACAAGGTTGTGCAACCATCATCATTATTTCCAGAACATTTTCTTTTCTTTTCTTTTCTTTTTGAGACGAAGTTTCATTCTTGTTGCTCAAGCTGGAGTACAATGGTGCAATCTCGGCTCACTGCAACCTCCGCCATCCCAGGTTCAAGTAATTCTCCTGCCTCAGCCTCCTAAG